GTCCCCTGCCCTGCCGCAGGCCGCAGAGCGGGAGACCCTGGAGATGCAGGACAAGCTGAGCCAGCTCAGCGAGAAAACGACCCAGCTGAACAACCTGCTGGAGGCCGAGTTACAGTCCCGTCCTGCCGGCGCCCGACGGTCTCACGCGTGTCCTGCACCTGCAGGCCGTGTGCCCTGTGTTGAAAACCGCCTGGGGAGAGGTTCTGGAACACCCCCTCGAGCATCCCGGAAGAGCCACGGAGGCCGCGGGAAGCCAGGGCAGGGAGCTGACCCACCACGCTCGGGCGGCTCCGGGTGCCAAGCACCGTGCCTCGCGGGAAATCAGCCGTGCGGTCTTTTGGGATAAACTTTCTTTAAAAATACGCATTTACTTTTTTTTTTTGTTTTGTTTTTTTTAGACAGCAGTGCTCATCTGTTGCCCAGCTGACGTCGCACGTGCCCGGGGTCAGCCTAGCTCACAGCAACCTCAAACTCCTGGGCTCAAGCGATCCTCCTGCCTCAGCCTCCCCAGTAGCTGGGACTACAGAGCACCACCATGCCAGGCTGTAATTTCTTTCTGGCGCGGGGTTATATTAGTTGCCAATTAGTTTCTTTTCTATTTATAGTAGAGACGGGGTCTGCTCTTGCTAAGTGGTTCCTCGAACTCCTGACTCCAGCAATCTCCGCCTCCCGGCCTCCAGGAGTGCTGGAGAGTTACAGGCGTGAGCCATGCCTCGCCGGCGCAAAAATATGCATTAGATTTTGATGCCTGTCTGATTTTTAAAGGCACACGTCCCAGGCTCCAGCGCGCGGCCAGCTGTGGGGGGGCAGGGCGCCCTGGCCCCGGGCAGTCGGGCCCAAGTCCCCTCACAGGCGGGGGCAGGGGACAGGCCAGCTCTCGGGGGGCAGGGCGCCCTGGCCCCGGGCAGTCGGGCCCAAGTCCCCTCACAGGCGGGGGCAGGGGATGGGCCAGCTCTCGGGGGGCAGGGCGCCCTGGCCCTGGACAGTTGGGCCCAAGTCCCCTCACAGGTGGGGGCAGGGGATGGGCCAGCTCTCGGGGGGCAGGGCGCCCTGGCCCCGGGCAGTCGGACCCAAGTCCCCTCACAGGCAGCAGGGACGCTGTGTCCCGGGGGAAGAACACCCGCATCAAGGACACGTGTGCTCAGGCGTGTGCCTGCGTGCATTATCCTGAGCGCGGGGGCCAGCGGGACACGGGGGGCCGGGGGGAGGGGCTCGGGGGGCACCTGACCTTGAGCGCGCGCACGAACTCGCCCTCGGTGGCCAGGTTGTCCCGCTGCAGCTGCTCCGAGCTGCCGGGCTCTTGCACACCAGCAAGCTGAGCCTCCTCAGGTCGTTGACCACAGGTCCGATGTGCCGCCTCGCGATCTCTCTTCCTGCTCCTTCCTCGTCCTGGCTTGGATCTTGCCTGCAGGGGACAGAGGCGTGGGGGGGACAGAGAGGCCGTGGCGACGGGGCGCGGGATGGGCGGAATGCTTGAAGGGGGCCCGCCGGGCTTGCTCTTGCCCTTGTCCTTGGCGTCCCGCCTGCCGCTGAGGTCCCCGAGCCTGGACTTTTGAGGCGGCTGGCAGGACCCCCCCCACCCCGTGCGGGGACAGCCAGGAGGTGTGGGAGTCGGGGCGGGAGCAGGCTCCCCCTGCCCCGAGGACCACGTACGGCGATTGCTGGCAGTGGGGACACGGGCTGCGCTGCCCTGGACGCTGCGAGTCTCCGGGAAAGGGGGGCCCGTTTGCCCCCACCCTGCCCCCGCCAGAGGGCAGAGCGTGGCAGACACTCTGGATGCTGAGACGGAGCGGAGGACGGGCGCCACCGTGCGACCAAGATGCATACACCCAACGTACACCCCTGGCTCCTCCTGCTCGCCCGGCCACTGTCACCCCGCCTGCGCCCGGCTTGGACACCCGAGCCTGTCTCCCTGGCCTTGCCCCGTCTCCCGGCTTTGTGTCTCAGTCAGATCTCGCTTTGCGGCACCTCTGTTTGGCCGACAGCGCCAGGAGGGTTTTCAGTGCTCTCTGCTCTCCGACGGACGGACGGGGTTGGGCGGCCCGAGGGCAGGGTGAGAGGGCAGCAAGGCCTCTGAGAGGGGGTGGCCCCGATGCATCCGGGCAGCATTTCCCGTGGGGGCACCCATCGTGGCAGGCCTGACCCACATGGGCCCCGACCCAGGCCCAGGTGGGACGGAGATGTCTCAGCAGGTGGCCTCGTGGGGGGACGTGGCCCTGGAAGGACTCCTGCCTGCCCCATTGCGGGCACCCGGCCCCGTGCGGCAGGCCCTCGGGTCCTAGACACTGCCCGGGGCAAGCAGGGGCTGGGGGAGCCCCCGAGGGACAGTTTTCTAAGCCCCGCTGGAGCAGGCCGGCCGGCCCAGCAGGACCCTGGCTCCGCAGGGCAGCGTTTGCACCCGAGCCTCCTGGCGGTGGCAGGAAGGGTGGCCGCTAGGAGAGCCCCGAGTCTGTGACCTCGGACAAACTCAGTAAGTTTCCTCAGCCCTGCGGCTGCAAACCGGTGTCCAGGCGGGCAGTGGTCTGTATTTGCAGATGTATCGTGGCGTTTTGCTGTTTGCTGTGAGGCTGAGTGGGAGCCAAGCCATGTGCCCCCCACACACGGTGGGACGCCCGCCCAGAGGTGATCCCTCCCCTAGCCTCCCCCGGGGCCCCCCACAGACCCCGGCACGCCGGCACCTACTCTCCACTCGCAGCCTCTTCTGCTCCAAGATGTGTATCTCCTTCTTGACCCTGGCCATGGTCTGCAGCTGCTGCTCGTGCTCCTGCGTGGCCGCGACCAGCTCCTGCTGCAGGCGCAGCCAGGTCACCTGGGACTTGGTCACGATGGCGCTGTGCTCGTCCAGCAGCTTGGTCAGCTGTTTGATCTCCAGCTCCAGGGGCCCGACTTCTTCCCCCTGGAAGGGACGTCTGTCAAGCAGCAGAACGAGCCTCCCTGGGCTCACGGCTCGACTCTGAGGTCGTGAGGCTGCAGGACGGGGGGCCGGGTTGGCTCTCAGAAGGGCCAGGGCCCTAGGGCGTGTTCTCGGGTCCCGCAGACCCTCTGCGGGACGCACGGGTATCTCGGGCTCTGGTCAGCCCCCTGCTGGGGGCTCCCTGGGCCGCGGCCCTGTGGGTGCGCCAACGGGCCGGGCCCTGTCACCCGAAGGGGCTTTGACAGTGGTCCTCGGATAGCACCTGCCGGGGTTCAGGGAGTTGCTCCCTCAGCATCCACTGGGCCCTGCGGCTTTGGGAGCAGCGAGGGGGCTCTGGGGTGCTTGGAGTGCAGCTCAGCGCTCCCCGGCTGCCTGAGCTACTCGGGCACTGGAGGCCCGTGGTGGGGTCCTGAGGTTGCATGTACCAGGACAACGAGCCGGGCGTCAAGCCGCAAACTCGTGAGACCACTGCTCTTAGACATCGGTCGGGGCCAGCGGCCGCCTGTCGTACACGGGCTACACAAACAATCAAAAACAATATTTTGGCCGGGCGCTGTGGCTCACACCTGTCATCCTACCGCTCCGGGAGGCCGAGGCGGGAGGATCGCTCGAGGTCAGTTCAAAACTAGCCTGAGCAAGAGCGAACCCCTGTCTCTACTAAAAACAGAAAGAAATTAATCAGCCAATTAATATATATAGAAAAAATTAGCCAGGCATGGTGGCACATGCCTGTAGTCCCAGCTACTCAGGAGGCTGAGGCAGGAGGATCGCTTGAGCCCAGGAGTTGGAGGTTGCTGTGAGCTAGGCTGACGCCACAAAACTCACTCTAGCCTGGGCAACAGAGTCAGAGTCAAAAAAAAAAAAAGAAAGAAAAGAAAAAGAAAAAAAAGAATATTTCATGCCAGGCGAAAATGAGATGGAATTTAAATTTCAGTGGCCATAAGTAACGTCTCCCTGCCACGCCCCTTCCTTTGCGTCTTGCCGGGGCTCCTTCCTGGCTACGAAGGCAGAACCTTTACTGTCTGGCCTTGCAGAAAGCAGCGTGCTGGCCGCCCAGGCCATTCTGTTTGCAGAATGGGCAGGGGAAGGAGAGGCTTTGCCGCGTCCCCTGCGAGCTCGTTTCTGACCCCGGGCAGCTCTGAGAGGGCCGCGGCCCCGCCCTGGCGCCGGGGCGGCCGGGCCTCACCCCCAGCTCGGCCACCATCTGCTCCAGCTGCTTGTTGAGGAAGTTGATGAGGCTCTGCTTCCGCTCGATGAGGATGGTGCGCCGCGAGATCTCGCTCTCGCTGTTGGAGATGAGCTCGTTGAGGCCCCTCACTTCCTTGTCCATCTCGTCCAGCGTCCTCTGGTGCATCTCCAGCCGGCAGGTGGTGTTGGTGATGTTCAGCGTGGCCTGAGCAATGTCGCCGTCGATCTTGGACAGGTGCGTCACCTGGGTTGGTGAGAGGACAGGCGCCGCGTGTGAGCGCGCTGTCTCCCCACGCGGGCTCGCGGGTCCGCCCTTTCCCCGGCTGCCGGGGCAGAACTTCCAAACGCGCGGCCGGGAGAGGGGGACGCTGGTTTCCTCCCCGTCCCGAGGAGCCCTCGAGGGACCTGCTTGTGGGAACCCAGACAGTGCCCTCGCAGGGAGCAGGGAGGAAACACCGTCGGCTTTTCTAGTCCAACAGCAGCGTGCACCGTGGGGGAAATGGGGAAACACAGGGCAGAGGCGTCGGCGGCGCGTTCAGGCACGAGGTCAACGCCGTCACCGCCCGGAGTCGAGAGCTTTCCTGTCAGTCTCCCCACCTAGACCCCCAGATAGAATCACACTCCTTTCTAGTTTGGTATGTTGTGTCTGATACTCCTACATCGCGTAGGTTTTTTTTTTGTTTGTTTGTTTGTTTGTTTTTTCCAGACAGTCTTGCTCTGTCGCCCGGGCTAGAGTGCCGTGGCATCAGCCTAGCTCACAGCAACCTCACAAAGTCCTGGGCTCAAGCGATCCTCCTGCCTCAGCCTCCCAAGTAGCTGGGACTACAGGCATGCGCCACCACGCCCTATATATGTATTTGTTCTATATATATTTGTTCTATATATATATTTTTAGTTGTCCAGTTAATTTCTTTCTATTTTTAGTAGAGACGGGGTCTCGCTCTTGCTCAGGCTGGTTTTGAACTCCCAAGCTGGAGCAATCTGCGGCCTTGGCCTCCCAGAGTGCTAGGATGACAGGCGTGAGCCACCGCGCCCGGCCCCACGTCGCATAGGTTTTAATGGCAGGTTTTAATGGCCGCGCAGTACTCCATTGGGTTTGGGGCACGGTTCGTGAGTCCAGCCGGGACCGAGAGTCCTCCGTGCCTCGCAGAGCTCTGCAGACGCCGGCAGGTCTCCCAGCCGGTGCCGCCCCACCGCCTCTGTGGGCCCCTTGGGTGGCAGAAGACAGATTCACTCGGAAGCCTTCCTGCCACAGAGGGTTTGTTGTGAGGACACGTGTGAGGGTTAGAGGTGAGGCAGCCGTCACACACGGCCACAGCCAGGTGGCCGGAGTTGCTTGGAACACGACATGCTCTCGACACGGGGCAGGGTCCCCTTCCCCAGGGTGTGGCCCTGTGGGTGGCCTGACCTCCTGCCCAGCTTCCCCAGGGCCACCTCGGCTTCTCTTCCGGTGACACCTGCGGGCTCCGGTGACTTCCCGGGGCGCCCACCTGGAGCAGGAGCATGAAGCGCCTGGAGTCCCGTGGCAACGTCAGCTCACTGCCTCCTCCTCCTCTGCCAGGGGGCCCCAGGCGTCTGGGGCCCGCAGGGGTCCCTGCCTCACTCTCGGCCCCAGCCTGGCCACCCCGTGGGGGCTGCAGTCCCCAAGTCCCTTCCAGCCCGTGCCACCGCCACCAGCCAGGCTGGCACGAGCACACCTGCCCTGCCCCCAGCTCCGCCCCTGGCTGTCTGTGCTCCTTTCGGAGGGCCCACCCCGGCCACCTCCCAGGACACCTGCTCCGTCCCAGACCCCTGCCCACTCTCCTCCTGGATCCCAGCCCCCTATTGATGGTCCCGTCCATCCGCACTCTGCCCGTCCTCCCAGATATGCCCCTCGCCTGCCTCCCACCAAGCCACGGGGCTTTCGAGAAGTTCAGAAAGTGTCCCCTGTTCAAGAGTTTGAGGGGCATCTGTTGGAAAATTGCCGTAATAGAGGCATTTGTGGGTCCGGCACTCTTTGCTGCCCTCTGCTGTACACTGGAGGTAGTACGTGTATGGCCTGAGGAGTGCCTGGGGCCTGGGGGCCTGGGGGCCTGGGGGCCTGGGGGCTGGTGGCTGAGGCTGGGGCCTGGGGGCTGGTGGGCTGAGGCTGGGGCCTGGGGTGGGGCTGAGCTGGGGCCTGGGCCTGGGGCTGGGCCTGGGGCCTGGGGCTGAGGCTGGGGCTGGGGCCTGGGGGCTGGGCCCTGGGCTGAGGCTGGGGGCTGGGCCTGGGCCTGGGGCTGGGAGCTGGGCCTGGGGGCCTGGGGCTGAGGCTGGGGCCTGGGGCTGGGGGCTGAGGCTGGGGTCTGGGCCTGGGGCTGGGTTGGGGCCTGGCAGCTGGTGGCTGAGGCTGCGGACTGGGGCTGGGGCCTGGCGGCTGGTGGCTGAGGCTGTGGACTGGGGCTGGGGCCTGGGGGCCTGGCGGGTGGTGGCTGAAGCTGCGGACTGGGGCTGGGGCCTGGTGGCTGGGGCTGTGGCCTGGTCTGGGCTGTGCCACAGCAGGGCTGGGCAGGCTACTTCACACCAATCTTCTCCGGTGCACTCCAGGCTGCTGCTTTAGCTGCCTGGGGCCTTGCCTCCGCCTCCCAGGGAAAGGACAGATGGGAACTGCCCCAGCATGTCCAGAGACAGCCAGCGTGTGCATGTGGCTAGCTGGTGCCAGCCCTGTCACCCCTGCTCCTTGGCATGGTCGAGGGTGCCAGGAGAGAGCTGCCATCCTCCCAGAGTGTCCGTGGGAGGGGGGTGAAGCTGCCAGCCAGGACATGGGGCCCCACCCTCCAGGCCAGGTGAGACCCATCAGCTGGGCATCGGCTCAGTCTTGGCTCAGCTGGGCCTACCCCTGACTGTCACCACCAAGCCACAGGGCCATGGCACCGTCTGGGCGGCAGCCTCTGGCCCTCCCCAGGCACCGTGCTCGAGTTCTCAGACGGTTACCTGTAATCATCTGACACCTGGACACCTGCCAGGTAAAACAGCTGGGCCCCCTGTGGCCCAGGGTCACACGGCAGTGGGGCTCACATTCCAGCCACTGAGGCACCTCGGCCTAAGGCCCGGAGGGGCCCTGCCTCCCTTCTGTCCACCTCCCAGAAGGGCCAAACCGGAAGAGCCGGGGTGGGAGCCCCAGGGGAACCCGAGTGGGAGCTGGAGAAGCGAGACACGCGTTCACAGCGGCTGCCGAGGAGCTGGCCCCGGCCGAGTGCTGCCTCCCTACGGCTGCAGGGGCCGTGGGCAGGCGCCTCTGCGGGACCTGCGTCTGGCCCGGCCCCCCAAGGCGGGGGCTCCAGTGGGAGTCACACCACGGGAACAGGCGGGAGGGGACAATCCAGATGAGGGATTGTTTTCTGGGGACATGGGGCCCCCTGACCCCAGCTGAGGGGAAAGCAAGACCCCAGGGAAAGCAAGATGAGCTCACCGTTGGGCCTCCGCGCCCCCCTGCACCCGGCCATGGAGGCCACAGTCACACTTTGGGGGCCCCAGGGCAAATCAGCCTTCGGTGGTGACGGGCCAGGCAGTGCTGTCCGGCCGCGCAGTGACCGCGCCCTGTGACCCAGGCTTTCTGCTCCAGCAGTTTGTCCTCAGAAACGTGGACAGAGACTCACGACCAGGATGTTCAGAGCCGACCTATTTACAACGTGTAAACCTAGAAACAGCCCGAAGCGTCTGCCGAGAGAACTGTCAGCAGACGAGGTGTCTACGTTCGTGGGGTGGAATGTTGTGCAGAAATGGAAATGTGGGCTTTCAAAGAACAGTTAACAGCCCGGGGAAATGTTACGTTGAATGTGGTCAACAGACTAAACGAAAAACTACACAAGTAGTGAAAAACGCATCATATCCTACTCTTTGTGCGGTCTTCTGTGTCATGGCTCAGTGAAATTAATTAAAAATGGATTAAAACGGACCTCGAGGCTGACACACGATGAGTCGGTTGTTGTTTCAGGCGTGTCTGTCTGTGTGCGTGTTTGCGGGAGTGCACGTGTGTGAGTGCGTGTGTGCGTGTGTGTGCGCTTGCTGCTGTGTGTGTGGGTCACGTGCATATCCCTGCGTGTTTGCGTGTGCAAGTGTGTCTGTGTGTGTGGGAGTGTCAGTGTGTGAGTGTGTGCGTGTGTGCGTGTGTGTGCGCTTGCTGCTGTGTGCGTGGGTCACGTGCATATCCCTGCGTGTTTGCGTGTGCAAGTGTGTCTGTGTGTGTGTAGGAGTGTCAGTGTGTGAGCGTGTGCGTGTGTGCGTGTGTGTGCGCTTGCTGCTGTGTGCGTGGGTCACGCGCATATCCCTGTGTGTTTGCGTGTGCAAGTGTGTCTGCGTAAGTGTGTGTGCAGGAGTGCGTGTGTGTTTCCGTGTGTGCACATGTACCTGTGCATGGAAACGTTTCCAGCAGGGCCTTCACCGAGCGCTTAGGAAGGCTGCCCCCGTGGTGGGAATGCCTCCGTCCTACTTTCTTTTTATGCCTTTCTGCGTTTTCAGGTTTCCTACAGCCAAACCCGGCCCCTTTACAACCAGGGGACGGTGAGCGACGGGCGGGCAGGGGAGGCCCCCCTGCTCACGCGGAGTCTCCCCCGGGTCCCCTCGGACCCCGTCCCCCTCCTGCGCGCCCCGCTCGGGCGAGGGCGGGCCTACCATGTTGGTCTTCTCCTTCTGCAGCTTCTGGATGAGCTGGTTGAAGTACTTGGTCATCTTGTTGGAGGTCATGTGCTCCTGCAGCTTCTCCTGGATGGCGGCGTCCATGGACCTCTTCAGCTCCAGCTCGCCGCGGACGGCCTCCCGCAGGGCCTGCAGCTCGCTGGCGGCCACCGCGTGCTCCTGGAAGGCGGGGCCACGGGGTGGGCGTTGCCGGGAGGCCCGACGCGAGCCAGGCGCGGCCTGCGGGGCCAGGGGCGTGGCCGTACCTGGTAGCCCTTGCCCAGGGCGTCCTCCGAGTCCTGCAGGGCCAGCTTGTAGGTGTGGAACTCGGCCTGCAGGGCCTCCCGCTTGGCCACGCACTGGGCCGTCAGCTTCTGCATCAGGCTGGCCTCCGTCTCCGCGCGGTTCAGGAGGCGCGCCAGCTTCTCGTTCTTCTCCTCCTCCTGCGTGATCGACTTCTTGTAGGCCTCGATCTCGCCGTCCATGGACTTGGACTGGTGCCGGCACTGCCTGCGGAAACGGGGGAG